GATCTGAAAGTTTGGCTATTTCTTCATCACTTAGATTTATTGGCTCTGGGGCTCTGAGTTGTTCTTGAGCCATGTTTTGATCTGTTTGTGCCTGTTACATACGAGGAGTGGAGCCTTACTTGTTCACCAGGGTGGGGCCACCCAGGTCACTGGTTTGTGACGATGTGTGTGGGGGCGGGGTCAGAGAGGGACAATGGCGGTTCCCTCTGCCACTTTCTGCCGCTGGGGCCTGCGCAGTCCATCTCACTGCTAGCTCCTTCACTGGTTTATCTGCGTGCTAATGTGTGACTGTGATCAGCCCTCAGTGGGTCCACCCCTTTGCGCCCTCAGTGAGTCTGCCTGCTTCTCCACAACTGGGATTTGCCCACGGCTGCTGGTGCACCTGGGTAGGGGGCCTGGGTCAGTCTGGTGGATCTTTCCTGCCCGACCCCGCTCTGCTGCTGACTCTGCCCCTCTTACCGGTCTGGCTGAAGGGTTCGTTGTTGTCAGACTTCCATGTAGTTCAATTTTCTGTGGTTTGGCTGCGTTTTTGTTGCTAAAACTTTGTTGTTTTTAAACTTGGTTGTATGAGAAGGTGAAGTGTTTCCACCTACGCCTCCATCTTGGCGGAAGTCTGGTGAAAAAGTTTATACTTTCCCCAGAATGTAAGAAAGACCAAATTGTGTCAATTAAATTCAGTATTCTATTTCCAAATGGTGTGTAAGATCATGTGTTTCTGCAGAAGTCAACTTCAAGTTGTTCTGGACATAGTATAAAGCATTCCTGGTTTTTCTTCGTAATTTAACAACTTTGATCCAATCCTTTAACAGCCTTCATTTTTACAGAGTGAAGTGTTAAAATTATTTAAGTCAGTAACTTTTAGTCTAAATTCTTAAAGGTGACAGACTTCCCCACAATGACAAGGTAGGATAAGTTTTCCTAGTCTTATGCTAATAATTTTAATTTTTATCTATAAGTAAGACATTTCCTTATCTAGAAAACTTTCACTACAGCAGCGGATTGACTATGAACTGTAAAACATTAGAACTAAAGGGAACTAAGACCTTAAATGCAACTTTCTACTTCACAAATGAGGAAACTGAGGCTTAGTGCTGGTAAGAGTCTTTTCTATAGTAAAACAAAAAACCCTAATCTAGATCCAATAAAGCAGTGCTCTTAAAACTGCTGATCAAGACAACCAATTCAGTGGGTTGCTAACAGTATTTTTTAAAAGCTACAGTCAAGTACAAAATATCAGAGGCTTTTCATATAGTGAGGATAAGTACTGTTTCATAAAAACTTGTTATATGTATGTGATGAATAATAATGTAACATGCATTTATTATAGTAAAAAATTTTGGAAGTAACTGCAATAAAATATTAATTCTTTGGGTATGTTTTAAAATGTATTACTTTAAAATTATGATTATTAAATTATTACTCAATAATTAACATTAGTAACAAGATAACTACCATTAAATCACTGTGATATGATTTATTATGATGACTCAGTTTACACTAATAAAAATACCTTTGTATTGAATACTAAATGCCACCATTTGAAAGAAGCCTTTTTTTATCCGCTTTAAAAGAAAATAGGTTCTGGATGTTATATACCCCATATCATATTTGAACAGACTTTCTTTAAAATATCACATTTCTGTTGAGTTTGTTATATGTGCAATAACTAGACAAACTTTTTAAAATACTGAATTCTAGAATTATGGTCATTAGCAAACATATAATTATCAAACATTCTCTGTGAAAACACAGTGACATCTAGTGGATTCATTAAATAAACTGACATAATCCTTGCCTATAGAATTTAGAAATCAGGGTAACACTGATACTGATATGGTTATATACTGGCAAGTATTACATATACATTAGAGCTACAGTTACAAGGAGGGACCCAAAAGAAACCTGGAATTAGCTTCTGGAGGGCGGGCCCCTTGTAGGACACACTTCCCCACTAGGTGAGTGTTCTAGGAACCCCTCAGTATCAGTGGACCAGCTGGCATTTCAGTGACAGGCTGCGTTAAGCTTCACTGAATTTTTCTGAAGACTCTTTCAACACGTTTGCCATATTGCGATGGGTGATTACAAGTGCATCCACACACACCAGCAACTGAGCATTCAACAGTTTTTGACCAAAAAATGGCATGACATCCATGACCCACCCTCCCCATTCACCTAATCTCACCCCAAGTGACTTCTGTTTCCCTGGATGAAAAAAGTCCTCACAGAGAAATGTTTTGCAAATGTAGAAGAGGTGAAATAAAAAACGGGAGAAACTCTAAAAGTCATCAAAATCAGTGAGTTCAAAAACTGTTTTGAACAGTGGAAAAAAATCTCAGCAGGTGTATTGCATCGAATGGAGAGTACTTTGAAGGTGAATGAAGTTCAAACATGTAAGAACACATAATTTTTAATAAGCAAATTCCAGGTTTGCAGGGGGGTTACTCCTTGTACACTCTGCACAATGTGACAACTGTGTACAGTAACCATGAGTAATTACAGGTTACTCCTGGTTCCTTACAATCAAGTAGAATGTGATGAAAGAATCCTAGCCTTGTTCAGAATCTATCAATAGCTTAAGAAATACTTTTACTTTTTCTGAGCTTGTTTGACAGAATTTGGATTGAATTATCTCGAGGGCCCTTTTAGCTATTTAACTATGATCCTTTCTTTTAATTCATGTATGCCAATGCCAGATTAAATTCGTTTAAAAACATTTGATGGCTCCCCAGTGCTTGAGGATGTACCAAACTGAGTTTGGCCCCTTGTTATATATAATTATCTTCTATTTTTTCCCCCAAACATACCTTCTACTTCAAGTGAACTAATGTCCTTATTAGCTACTTCCAATACTCCAACTTACTCCTACAAGTTTATTTTCTCATATCTGCTTACAGTTTTTCATTGTCAAATGTTTTCTTTTAATATTTTATTTATTTATTTTCAGAGAGAAGGGAAGAGGAGAAAGAGTGGGAGAGAAACATCAATGTGTGGTTGCCTCTCATGTGTCCCCTACTGGGGACCTGGCTTGTAACCCAGGCATGTTCTCTTACTGGGAATCGAACCGGTAGCCCTTTGCTTCACAGGCCTGTGCTCAATCCACTGAGCTACACCAACCAGGGCTCAATGTCAAATGTTTTATTCTCACTACTTACGTAACAGGTCCCCATTAAAATAGGTACTAATTTGTTGCACTCATGTGTATTTATTTGGCCATCCCAGTGAGATTTAAATTTAAACTCACAGACTGGGCTTCATTCATGTGTGTAACCTTGTACATACTACACATTTTAAATGTAAACTCAATTGATTAGCTTACATTAGGGAAACCAAACCCATTTTCATCATTCTTTTTTAGTGAGGTGGGGGATGGCATATATATTTATAAGGTAGAATTTTAAAACCACAAATGTAAAGTGACAGAGCTTCATATTTTAGGAAAAAGTAGTCATTCTGAACATAAGATGGTAAGATTTAGAAAAAGGTCAGAGGGAAGACCTATTTTAAAATAGCTAAAGGAGTAACAATAACTATTTGAAGAAAACAGAGATGACGGGAAAGGTGGTTTGGTAAATGGTTTTGCAGCAGCCGAAGCAGATACGATGACTGGCTAAATGAAAGGGCTAAGTGGAAGAAGTAGAGAAGATATGTTTGGAAGCACAGTTAAGGAGAACGTCAGGAGCCACTGGCTTTAACAGTATGAAATGAAGTATGTTGCTAATGCAGGGCTAAGGAAGCAATGGGCAGCTCTGGTGAAAGAAATATTAAGAAAGGAAAAACAGAATAATAGTTTAAAAGGTGCTCCCAGCTTCACTGTAAACTTGGACAGTGCTACAATCTTTTATCCTCCAAATGATAGTATCAAACATAAGAAATGAACAACTTAGTCACTTTTACATTTAATTCAAATAACAAAGGCCAAATTTATTTGACATATTCTAAACCACACAGTAATAAATCATTAGGTAAAGGTGTCTGCCGACAAAGACACTGCCATCGGTACAACTGATATTAGGTGAGTGCACAGTAGTGTCATACTGTGCATCCGAGAAGACGAAGTTGTTTTGTTTTTATAGGCAAAGAGCTTTCACCAACTTGCATCTCAGTACATTTATGTCATTGACTATATTTAGTACAGATCCTATTTTACTACAGATAATATTGCCTTATGTTGTTATATTCTCTACCAAACATAAATTATCTGGTATACTACCTCATTAATTTAAGCCTTTGTTTGGAATTTCTAACCAATATAGTTTAATTATATAACAATATTTCTTGTTACTGTCTTTATAAGATTATGCCATTTATTTGCCCTGCAATAATAAATTTTTTTCTCAAATTTGGCAACTACTAAAATGTTGTAAATGTTCAAATATTTTGCCAAGGCAAAATCCCAGGAAGGTCCATAAAGGTTTTTTGGTTTTTGGTGGTTTTTTTGGTAAAAGTGACTCTCAATTGGGATTCTTTAAATTATAAAACATTGTACTGATTTTTAATAAAGATTGAACAAATTAGTAATCTAAACTTTTTTATCTTAGTACATAGTTTCCTAACAAAAAAGTGAGTTAAGTTGGATCTCAAGATCCAGTATCTTCTGAAAAATTTAACATTCTTACTCCAGGACTACCATATTTATGGAAATATTAAAATAAATAACTGGCTGAGAGCACTCTTGTGTTCATTAGATGTGATGATACTTGATTCATGAATCACTGAATAAAATCAATTAAATCTTTAACAAAAAAGAAATAACTGCTCTAACAGGAAGCAAAGTTCAGGTTTTGTGATTAAAGCTAAAGCAACAAAGAAGTAACATCTGTATGAATTTCCTGACTTCAAGCATAAAATCCTTAACAGCTATGCTTAAAATATAACCATTTCCCCACAATTAAAATGTATACAGTGGTAACATTCCAAAGGCAGCTAAACCTACTCTCTGCATACCTCAAAAAGGAGAAAAATATTTCAAATATGTGAATGAACATAATGATTTAAATTACCTTTCTTCTTCTCGAACCCACACTGGAGATTTAGGAATTTGTGCTTCAAAGAACTTAGATGCTTTGTAACAAAAATCGCTGCAGAAACACTGAAAAAAAAATTTTAAACTAGTTAGGGTTTTTTTAATTGTAAAACACAACATATATACAGAAGAGAGCATAAAACATAAATATGTAGTTCAAAGAAAATAATGAAACCCATGAATCTGCCACCCAGTGTAAGGACTGAATACTGTTGAAGGCCGCTATGTGACCCTCCTGATGGCATTATGCTCCACACCCCAAGAGGTAATCACTATCATACATTTTGTCACTTGTTTCCTAGCTTTATTTTAGTTTTGAGGTCTGTCCAGAAGTTACGCAGCCATGTAACATAAAAAATAGAGATATTTGTTGAAGAAAATACAAGAAACACTGTACTGCAACACAATGATGCCTCAAAGTAGGCACCTTGGGACCTCAAAGTTCTCCTAATCACATCAGCTGCCTTGTCACATTTTCCTGAATCTCACTGATAGTCTGAAATCTCTTACCTTTCAAAGGTGATCTTAGTTTTTGGAAAAGCTAGAAGTTGCAGGGCACCAAATTTGGGCTGGAGGCGGGTTGCGTGACCTGGGTAATTTAATGTTTCACCAAAAAACTCTACTCAAGACACGATGCATGAGAAGGCATGTTGTTGTGATGAAGCTGCCAACCACCAGTTGCCCATAGCTGAGGCCTTCTGACTCATCCAAATAGTTTCCACAGAGGAATGTCCAAGCTTAACTCAAAATCTGATGCAGATTTGTTGCTCTACTCACTCAGTCCTTTTCAATGTGATGGCCACACTGTACACATGCTCATTCAACATCGTCTACTGCCCCCACTGACCAGTACGGTGAAGTCATCATTGTTCACACATGCACATTCCAGTCCACTCTCCTTGGCTGCTAGATTACATCAATGTCATGCAAACCATTCTTGTTATATTAATAATGGCTGGACTTTTTCCAAACAGGCCTCATATATCTTATAAAATTTACCACTCATTTTTACCTTTTAAACTTTGCCTGAATGGAGTCATACTGTTATATATTCTTATTGTTTCTTGTTCCACATTATGTTTTTTGAGATTATTTCACAAAGCTGTAGCTTATTCATTTACACTGAGTATTACATTCCATTGTGTAAGTACTCTACCCTTTATTTAATGTTTATGGACAATTGAGTTGTTTCTAATTTTTTTTGCAATCACTACAGTTACCATGAACTCTTTTTTTACAATTATTCAAATTTTTTAAAAATGTGGTAAAATATGCAACATTTACCAACTCAATGATTTTTAATCATTTTTAAGTGTATGGTTCAATGGCATCTGGTATCTTCTCACTGTTGTTCAACCATCACCACCAATCACCAGAACTCTCTTCATCTTGCAAAACTGAAACTCTACGCCCATTCGACAGTAACTTTCCATTTCTGCCTCCTCTGACAACCATTATTCTACTCTTGGTCTCTATGAATCTGACTACTCTAGCTACTTCAGATAATTGGAAGCATGTATTTGTACTTCTGTGCTCCCTTGCTTCACTTAGAATGTCTTTAAATGTTATCCATATTGTAGCAAGTATCAGAATTTCCTCCTTTTTAAGTTTTTAGGGGTAAATAACATCCCATTTATGCATATACAATATTTTGTTTATCTAAGAATATTCATATACATATGTACTTGTGCATACAAGCAAGAACTTCCTTTGGATACATACCAAAGAACAGAAAGGCAGGTCATAAACAATACGCAAATTTGGCTTTACTAGATAATGCCAGTTTCTCAAAGAGGTTGTACCAATTTTTATTTGACCAGCAGTATACACAGTTACTAATACCATCAGATTTTATAATTTGGTTAATTTGGAAACTGTGAAAACAACTCATGTGTGTTTTTATTTGCTATTTTCCTGACTAAGATTGAGTACCTTTTCACACATTCGTTAGTAATTCAAGTTTCTTTCATAAAATTTTTGTTCAGTTATCTATCTTTTTCTTATAGACTATATCTTTTGGTTATGAATCTGTGGTCAGATATGGTAGTAATATAATTCCTCCTTATTTGGAACTTATCTTTTCACTCTTTTTTGGAAACCTCTAACAAGCAAACATTAATTTTTTTTAAAAAGATGCCTTTAAAAAAAAAAGATTATTTATTTATTTTTAAAGAGGGGGAGGAAGGGAGAAAGAGAGAGAAACATCAATGTGTGGTAGCCTCTCATGTGGCCCTGACTGGGAATCAAACCTGCAACCTTTTGGTTCACAGCCTGTGCTCAATCCACCGAGCTATGCCAGCTAGGGCTAAATATTAATTTTAATGGAGAAAAATTTATCAGCTTTTCCTCTACAGTCTATAATTTCTTATTTAAGAAATCCTCTCTAGTCTAAGTTTATAAAGATGTTCTCCCGTGTTAACTTTAAAAAGGTTTGTCTTTTACACTTAAGTCCTTCATTAATCTAAAATTGATCTTTGCATGTACACTGAGATAAACGTGAATTTTCATTTTTCACATATACATAACTAATTGTGTCAGTACAATTTATGGAGTAATAAATCCTTTCTCCACTGATCTATAATATTCCTGTTTTTATCTAGCAAGTGTCCACGTATGTGCTAAGTCTGTTTCTTCTTCTCTATTCTGTTCCATGATTTACTTACCTGAATTTGTGCCAATAAGCACTTAATTTTTAAAGTTCAAGAATTAATTAAAGCATAAGCAAAGACTGTCTTAAAACAGCCCTGGCTGGTGTAGCTCAGTGGACTGTGCACGGGCCTGCGAACCACACGATCGCAGTTCGATTCCCGGTCAGGGCACATGCCTGGGTTGTGGGCTAGTTCCTGGTGGGGGATGGAGGAGAGGCAACCATGCATTGATGTTTCTCTCCCTCTCTCCTTCCCTTCCCCTCTAAAGATAAATAAATAAAATCTTAAAAAAAAAAAAAAAAGGAATGTCTTAAAACACCTTGAATAAAATATCTACAAATAAAAAAGTTTTTAATATGACTATTTTCTAAAAGGCAAGACTTTAAAGCTGTTTTTAGAATTTCATTTAGTATAATATTAAAAATTAACTGCCAAATTGAAAATATACTTTAAACTTACCTTTCTTTCAGTAATATCATATACTTTGTTGGTTTTGGTAGAAATTTTATATTTCTGTTTTGGTACCTAAAGAAAAGACATTACAGATTACAAAAGAACTCAAGTAATAAATTTGAACTTGTGTTACAAGCTATTTATATATCATATCATTAGTTCGTGGCCTCAGTTTCACTTCTTGTTCTTCCTACAAAGTATTTTGATATACATAAAAATTTAAAATTTCACTATATAAAAATTACTTACAATTCCTAGCTTGTTGTGACATAAGGGATAACCACAGAGCTTGATAATAGAACGTTCATCTACAACATCGCTGTAGTGAGCAGGTGTGATGAACTTCCCCTGTAATGAAATAAAAGGGACACCCCCACCCAGATTATTGGAAAGAGTTCATTTAGCTCTCATCTGAAAACACAGCAATAATGGTATCTATCTCATAGGTTTAATGTTAGAATCAGAGGAGAAAAATATAGAAAAAGAACTTAGAAAAGTGGTTTTGATACACAGTAAGTACTCAAAAATGTTAGCAATTATTTAAAAAGAACAAAAACAAAAAACTTCTGCCACAGTAGACTATGCACCTTTGTAGATTATACAGTTCATAATTCTGAGGCAGAAAGAAGCTATGGTGCAATACTGGTGATATTATTTTATTTCTAAAAAGTATTATTCAAAAAATAAACTACATAAAATAATAAGATATAATTTTACCTATTTTTAAAGCACAATCTTAAAAAAAAAAAGTGTATCAAAGGTCACTGTAAGTCCTATACAAATTTTTGTGCAAAATCTTCCAGCTTCTGAAAAAACTATACAGGAGGAAGGTGAAGTGATAGTTGTAAGCTAACACCAAATTCTTCCTATTGACATCTTCCTGTTCAAATAATCCTACTTCCTGACATTATTTTTGAAGTTCTGTTCTTGAAGGGACTGAAAATTTTTTATTCAGAGTACTATACGGTACTTTTTTCCAATGAAGCATTTCTGGTTTATGTTTATCTTTAGAGTCATTATGCAGATTCTGATGCAGTTACCTATATCAATTTAAATACTATATTTATATTCCTCTTGTTTAGAAAAATCTCTGAGCCACACTAAGAATTACTTTTGCAACAGAAGCCCTGACTTTTAATTTTTTTCTCTCAATAATTATGAATATATAATATAAATTTTCATTCAAAATTTTATTGCAATAGAGCCATTTAGGGGGAAAAATGCAGATTGTAATTTTCTTGTTATTTGTTGAGTCATAATGGCTCTATATGTGAGGTTTTTAAAATATCCAGCCCTGGTCAGGTAGCTCAGTTGCTTAGAGCATCGTCCTGATACTTCAAGGTTGTGGGTTTGATCTCTGGTCAGGGTACACACAAGAATCAGGCAATGAATACATAAATAAGTGGAACGACATATTAATGTATCTCTCTCTTTCCCCCCCTTTCCCTTTCTCTCTAAAATCAGTAAATTAAAAAATTGGTTTTTTGCCCTAGTTTGTATGACTCAGTGGATTGAGTGCCAGCCTGCAAACCAAAGGGTTGCTGGTTTGATTCCCAGTCAAAGTACAAGCCTGGGTTGCAGGCCAAGTCCCCAGTAGGGGTGCAAGAGAGACAACCACACATTGATGCTTCCTTCCCTCGCTTCTCCCCTGTCTAAAAATAAATAAAATCTTTTAAAAAATCCAAATTAATGAATTACACTAATGAAAATAACCTTCTGTTACTAAAATAGGACAACATACAGAATACAGAAAATAACAATGAGATATTAGTGCACATGATGAAAATCATGTGAGATTAGCAGACTGGTTAAAACAACTACTACTAAGGCATGTAATTTGTCACCAGTGCATTTCAAATCATTGTACAAAAAAATCCATAAATAATCATTTTTAAGTGCACAAATTATACTGCATGTTACCTGTATGTGGTGACTGAGAGTAGATTCTAAAATTTCAATAATGCAAGTAAGTTTCATGTTGCACAGATTTAAAGGTTTTCTACTACAAAAGCAATAATTTGTCAATACGTACACATTCCTTTAAGAACTCTTCTGTAATATTCTCTTCTAAAAGCTGTTCAACAATACGTAGAGCTTTTCTCTCAAACTTAATCTTCCTTCTCACAATCTCTTCTAGTTCTGCTTTCCTAAAATTAAAAAAAGATTTAAAATATACACAGTACCTTACTTATAGTTTTATCACAGCCAATTTTCTAGTGTTTTTAAATACAACACTAACAACTTACTCTTTTGCTACTTAAATTTCTATTTTTCATTCTGCTACTTTTGACCCAATATTTTTCAAAAATGAAACAAGCTACTTGTTGCACTGTGCACATAGGAAGTCGACCACCTTAGGTAGATTATTTGATTTCCAGAACCCAGAGCACACACACAAAAAATAACTTGAGAAATTCCTACAGGAAAAAAAGAACAAAAATGAGGTGAAATCTTTTTTCAGTTAGAGTTTATTACTTTTGTATATACCTAAAAAGGGAGGTTTTCCTCCAAAATCCTTATAAATAAGAGAGTAGAGAGGAAAAATATAATTTTGGCTGTTTCTTACAAGCAAAAATTAATTTGTGTTACCTCAAAAGTTAACAGATGGCCCAGATTGACAGGACAGAATCACAACAGAAAAGAAGGGTTTACTTTTTGTCATACAGTCTTATTAAAACTATATTGGTTTATAGTTATTTAACCATATAACTATGGTTTAGGAAAACAGCAATCTTCCTAAGAAGGCTGGCCCTTGTCCTGGCACCAATGGGACTCTGTCAGCCTTTGCCTGCCCCACACATTATTGGAACGGAAAAGCACAGGCTATTGGACCCAACAATGGCCCTAGGGCAGTGGTTTTCAATCCTAGCTGCACGTTAGAATCATTTGAAGAGATTTTTTTTCAAAAAGATACTATGGCCAGGTTCCACTACAGGCTCATTAAATCAGAATCTCTGAGGATGGGGCCTGGTCATTGGTGTCTTCTTAAAAGCACTGTAAATACTAGTGTGTACCAGGGTTGAGAATCACTGCCATATCATCAAAGATACCAACTATCCTGGTGATGAATTTGCTCCTTTCCTGCACTTGCCTACTAGAAAAACCTTTGTTGGCCTCCAGGACCTTGATGGGGCTCTCATAACTGGACCTAGAATACACTCCGCTTTTCTCCGTACCTTTAAAACTTTAGACTCCAATATCTAGCCTGGAGCAATAGTTTTACAAACAATTTGTAGCACTGATACGGGATTGCCAATCCGTAACAAATAAGGACATTAAAACAAGAATAAATTTACAGCTAACACCTGTTTTCCCATCATTTCAGAAAGGCCATACTTAGATCAAAGAAGTATAAAAGACATGAACACAGATGAAAAGGCAGTTCTTGGGACTTCCCACCAAGACGAAGACGTAGGTGGAAACACTGTGCCTCCTGGCACAACCAAATTTAAAAACAACAAAGATTTAGAAACAAAAACACAACTAGAACAGACAGAAAATTGAACTGTACAGAGGTCTGACAAGGAACCATTCATCCAGACCGGTAAGAGGGGGACAGTTGGTGGCCAGTGGAGAGGGGTTGCAGCAGGAAAAAGTGGTGGCTTCCAGACCTAGGCCCACAGGTGGCAGGGGGAGCAAATGAGCAGATCCAGTGAGGTGTGCAAGGCGGCCAGCAGACCAAGGTCACACATTTGTGTGCAGATAAACCAGGCAAAAACCGGGCAGCAAGACAGACCAGGCAACCTTAGGCCTCTGTGCCAGGAAATAAAGCCTAAAAACACCAACTGAAAACACCTGTGGAGGTTGAGGTGCTGGGAGAAACTCCCAGCCTCACAGGAGAGTTCATTGGAGAGACCCACAGGTGCCTAGAATGCACACAAGCCCACCTACCCAGGAACCAGCACCACAAGGGCCCAATTTGCTTGTGGGAAGCAGCAGAGGGGACTGAAATCCAAGAGAGTGGAGCAAGCGCCATTGTTCCCTTTCTGACCCAGCCCCCACATACAGCATCATAACCCAGCAACTGGGTTACTCCACCATGGTGAACATCTAAGTCTCTGCCCGATATACGTAACAGGTGCAACCAGACCAAAAAATTATGGCTCAAGCAAAAGGAACAGCTCAAAGCTTCACAGCCAATACTTTTAAGCAACCAAGAGACAGCCAACCTATTACATGCATAGTTCAAAACACTGGTGATCAGGAGGCTCACAGAATTGGTTGATTTTGCTTGCTAATTAGATGAATAAATGAAGGCTACACTAAGTGAAATGAAGCAAAATGCACAGGTAAACAATAGTGAAGGGAAAAAACCTGGGACTCAAATCATGGAGTGGACCAGAAAGAAGAAACAACTAAACAGAAAAGAATGAAGAAACAAGAATTCAAAAAAATAAGGAGAGGCTTAGGAACCTCCAGGACATCTTTAAACATTCCAACATCCGAATTATAGGGGTACCAGAAGGGGAAGAGGAAGACCAACAAGTGGAAGACTTATTTGAACAAATAATAAAGGAGAATTTCTCCAATCTGACAAAGGAAATAGACTTCCAGGAAGTCCAGGAAGCTCAGAGAGTCCCAAAGAAAGTGGACCCAAAGAGGAACACACCAAGGCACATCATCATTACATTAGCCAAGATTAAAATGAAGGAGAGAATCCTAGAAGCAGCAAGAGATAAGGGGACTGTCACCTACAAAGGAGTTCCCATCAGACTGTCAGCTGATTTCTCCAAAGAGACCTTACAGACAAGAAGGGGCTGGAAAGAAGTATTCCAGGTCATGAAAGGCAAGGACGTACACCCAAGATTGCTCTATCCAGCAAAGCTTTCATTTAGAATGAAAGGGCAGATAAAGTGCTTTTCAGATAAGGTCAAGTTCATCATCGTAAGGAGTTCAAGTTCATCATAAGGAGTTCATCATCACCAAGCCCTTATTATAGGAAATGTTAAAGGGATTTATCTAAGAAAAAGAAGATAAAAAAGATGAACAGTGAAAGGATAGCAAACTCACAGTTAACAACCACACCCAAAACAAAAGCAAACTAAAAGGACAGCTAAGTCAGGAGTGGAACCATAGAAATGGAGATCACGTGGAGGGTTAGCAACAGGGGAGTGGGAGGAGAAGGAGAAGGGGGGAGAAGGTACAGAGAATAAGTAGCATAGACAGTAGGTAGAAAATAGACAGGGGGAGGGCAAGAATAGTATGGGAAACATAGAATCTAAAGAATCTGTGACACATGGACATGAACTAAAGGGGGAATGTGGGTGGGAGGGGGTGTGCAGGGTGGAGGGGAATGAAGGGGGGAATGGGACAGCTGTAATGGCATAATCAATAAAATATATTAAAAAACAAAAATAAAATGCAGTTCTTTATACTGACTATATTTAGCTTTATGAAAAACATTATTTTATTTTGCTGCCAGTAAGAGCTATGTCATGTACTAAAACCAGTACACAACCTGCATTAGGAATTGCCAATTTAATTGTTAACTATCTCAACCTGCATTAACAGCCACACTCCTTTTAACTAGTGGATACCTACAGCTGCTTCCCATGGATAGCCAGGTCTCACAATTGCCCTCTATCAGAAATAAAGACAGGTAGTGTGGTAAACAGCAGTGGTTCTCAAACTTTTTGGTCTCGGCATTCCTCTACATTCTTAAAATTAGAGCTTTTGTTTATGTAAGTTACATCTACCAATATTCACCATATTAAGATTAAAAGCTAGAAAAATATTAAGCATTTATCAATAATATACCCATTACATGTAAACATGTTTTTAAATTAAAAAATTAGTATTAAGAGTGGAATTTTTTATACTTTTGCAGAGTTCTTTAATTTCTGGCTTAAAAATATTCACCTGGATGTAGGTGTATACTGAATGTAGAGGTGTTTTGCAGCTGGAATAAATTTATAAAGGACCACTCCCCTCAACAATTATTTGGTTACCCACATGGATTTTAAATTATTTCATCATGTATGATCTACTCAAAATACATTTCAGCTTATCTACATTCCACAAACTGTAGTGCTCAAAGTAAAATATAATCTCCTTAGGTTTGTGGTCAGATCTGTGTTGAAGTCACAATATTACGCAAAGAGAAGTCAATATAATCATGCTGCTCCACAGGGAAATACAAGCATTCCTCATTTCATTGCGCTTCACATTATTGCACTTGACAGGCATTGTATTTTTTTTTTACAAATTGAAGTCAAGACCCTCCATCAGTAAAATGATTACAACTCGCTTTATTGTGGTGGTCAGAAACCAAACCTGTGATATCTCTCAGATATACCTGTATTCTCCAAAACAGATCTCAAGTCTATCCAATTTCTCCATCCCAGGTGATCACCATCCTTAACATCTTAAAACTTTTAAAACTTAAATCCTATTACTTTATTAAGATTTTCCCATTTGCATGTATAAAATCTACATTTCTCACCCCGGCCAGGTACAGTATAAATAGAATCCTGCCTTTCTAACCTTGTCCTATGTACCTTTGTTCCTTTGCTCAGAATGCTTACACCACCCTGCACATCTCATGCACCTTTTCTTAAATGACCAAACCTTGTCACACATACTGCCATCTCTGGCTGGAGTTCTCTCTCTCCTCACTACTGTCTGGTTAATGCCTACTTTAGCCTTCAGGTCTCAGCTTAATTACTTCCTGAGAAGCCCTTCCCTGAAAACCCACCACCCTTCCTGCCAATGTCCATCTAAATTAGACTCTGTTATGAGTTCTTCCTCATTTATAAAACTTAATATAATATGTAATTATGAATTTATTTGAGAATATAATTAGTATTTCTGTTGCATTAGATAGGAATTGTGTCTATTTCTCTTCAAAATTATATCCTCAGGGCCTAACAGGTCTAGCATATCTTACACTAATAATTTTTGAAAAAAATGAGTAACTTAAGGCGAAAGTCAATACTTCATAAAATATCATAGATACATGTTATTTTATTCATACTCATGGACTAGCCCTATTCTAGAAACCTTTTGTGACAAGTGATAAATCTTGCGCTTTTAGGAAAAGTCAAGAGGTAGTACAAGTCAACTTTCTTCTAAAAATAAAGACATAATATAAACAAAGAACAGAAAAGGCTTCTTGTAGTCTCTGGCATATAAAACAAACAAAAAAAAAAACAAAAACAAAAAAGAGAGAGAGCGTCCAAAAAGGTGGAAAAGGAATATGTCGTTATTTCAGGAATGTTTATTCCCATAGACACCTTTCTACATATACTCATACCTTCATCAGCAATCTAAAAGTGTCTGACTTTGGTTTTCTTAAATCATGGAGTAGGGGCACGCAACAGTGTATGTGAGAATTTATAGTGCTTCCCAGATCTTCCCCTTCTGATAATAATTTTCTTTAAGGTAGCACCCATTAAATTGTTTTAAAATGTGGTTCAATTAATAGGGGACAAACAGCAAAGCGAATGCAGTTATCCAAATAGCTTTCATACCTTTTAGAAGCATCTTCTTTCAAGGTACTTGCCTGTTTAGTACCTATAATTAAAAGCAAAAACAAAAAACAGCAGATCAAGTTTTACCCAAATACACTAGGTTACAGACCATATTTCTTTCCAAACTATACCATCTTTTCTTCTTTCCCACATATTCCAACCCTGTGTGCAAATCAAGTACAATGAAATAGGAATCCAATTTGTTTTTGTAAATTAATGATTCTGGAACCATTCCTAGTCAACATGTTCCTCTTTCTGGGTTAATTTTCTCTTAAAACATAGTTGCAGAGTTAAGCACTCCTGAAAATCTGAAATGTGGTTACTTTCAGGGATACTCTCTCTCCGTCCCGCAAATATTCTCTCCCGGGTAAGAGGGAAGGAGGTTCTCCCATACCTCGGGGAACCAGGGCACCAGAGCAGCTGTACGAATGGAGGGAGGACCTGTGCAAGCTCAAGGGCAGGAGCACACAACCTGCCGACGCTGCCCTGGTCACTGGCTCACTCTGGCGACCCCCGCTCCAGGCTCCCAGGACCTCTACTGCCCTTTCCCACAGAGACTGGAGCACAGCCCATTCCGGGGAAAATCCCACAACGCTAGTGTAAAGAGCTGGGGGTCTGGCCGGACGGAGGTCTTTCCCAGACCGCACGAGGATGGCGGTGGGGCCCTCTCGGCCTTCTCTGCCCTGAAGATCTCCTCCCCTGGGGCAGCCTTTCGGGAGCTACTCGCGTGCCTCAGTCTAGAACTGTATAGAGGCTCGTTCTCAGGGTCCAAATGTGGGAAGAGGGCCTTTTGCCTACCTGCAGCCTTTCGGGAAGCACGCGGGGCCCGGGACTTCTGGCGGGCCGAGGACAGGCTGGCATATTCAGCCATGGGAGCCAGCGTCAGAAGGTCTGGACTGAACCTGGCGTCTCCCTCTGAGGCTCCGCCTTCCCTGGCGTAGCGCGAGGCGGGGCCGGGAAGGGGCGGGGCAGACAGGGGCGGGGCCGGGAGAGCGGCCTGCGCTGCCCGGGTGGTAGAAGACGACGCTGGAGGCCACAGGCCGGATAGTAAGTAGATCCCCGGGGAAGTCCTAGGCTGTCGCGGCTCGAAGAGGACCTGGAGCCGCAGAGATGCGGTGCCGCGGGCGGATTAGGGCCGGCGAGGCGGTGGGGCCCGAACGCCTAGGCGGGCCAATATCGGGAGAAATGGCTTCCCTGGGATGCCGCCTGCACGCACGCTATGTTTTATCCACTTTGAAGCGCGCTGCCGTGAGGACCCGGCAGACCTGCGCCGGGACTGCGGGTCTAGGCCCGGGTTTACACGCGGAAAGGATGGGCTGCGGGAACGGGAAGCAGTCCCTCTGATGGCCCCTGGTTGAGTTCACTGACTGGATTATTTTGGGGACTGCATCTGTTAAGGGAAATGCCCAGGTCACACTTGGGGTGGAGGGCATTTGAACTTTCACTACCCCTGGTGAGTAGTGTTGAACTTAAATTTTGTCAAGTAGGACATTAAAGTATAAAAACCCCCTATGATTATAACTGATTTCAGGCTCACCTTTTGGAAATGTGCTCAGGAATGGAATACTTTGCCTTTTTAATGTGCTTTGTTTAGTCCATGTTTGCAGAGGATTTTTCTTTTTCAGTTATATCTTTCAGAACTACACTACGCAGGACTATGCTTAAGAAAACCTAAAAGACACAACAGTTTTTTTAAAGATTTTTCTTTTCTTAGGTTAACACACTATGTTTCAATAAAAACATTGCAGCTTTAAAACTTTCGTCTTTATTGTATTTACTAATAATTCCTCAGAATGAAATATAACGATACTTCAGTGTAATATTTCTGATAGTTAACAGTGTGCATTGTATTAGTACATTTCAGCATCAAAACTTAAAAATAACAAAGAATGGCTGTGGAAGAACTTCAATCCATAATAAAGAGATGTGTAAGTAATTTTTCCTTTTTTTTGTTAACGTTAAATACCTTTCAAAATATGGGGAGGGCACAGATTATTTTTAATTACATTTGTGATCACTCAAATTGTTTATCTTCTTTAGTCCTTGCTCTCTTTGTTGACCTATGAATAAATAGTATGAGGGCAGGGAAGCAAATTGGATTATTTTCCACGTGATGTACACATCTAAATAGCCTTTAAAAATTTTAATACACAGTGGATTTCAAGATAATTCTCTAAAGTATTTATTAGGTTAATCCTAATTTTCATGCATATGCTAATGTGCAACTCACCTAGAATTTAAACAGATTTAATAAATCAAGTAGTTCTTGAATTTTTATTTGCCTAAATGTGTTTGTTTTTGTTTACTTTGTTTTGCTAGCAAATCCTAGAAGAGCAAGACTTTAAAGAAGAAGATTTTGGCCTATTTCAGTTAGCAGGCCAAAGGTGCATAGATGAAGGGTACATAGACCAGTTATTAGAAATTATTCAAAACGAAAAGAATAAGGTAAGTATGATCTTTGTGTGTGCTTTTCAGTCTTTACTAGGAAGAGAATAACCACGTGATACTATTTATCCATCTTTTCATTTACTCATCAAACATATAAGAGTCAACTTAAATTTTTCACAGTAGGAAACTGGGTAACAAAAAAGGAATTAGGATTACTCAAATACTTTAAGGTACTTACAGTCTGGTGGAAGAGATAAGCATATAAACAGCTAGCAATAAAGAGACAGAAAAACTGAAATAAGTGCTATAATTGAAGTATAATTAAAGTGCTTTAGAAGAGCAGGGATTACTTCTGGTTCAGAACCAAAAGTGGCATTTAGATCATTAATTGCATTGAGAAACATAAACATCAGGCAGACTAGATAGTCACCTTTGGTGATCAGCACATTCTGTTCCTCCAGCCAGATTTATAGGGAAAACCAAATATCGAGTGAGATAATATTATGATGAGGACAGCTGACCAATATCATATAGCTACAATTAATCTAAGAACTCATTCTCTACAATAGGAAAGGATCTTTTTGGGACTGGAAACAACTTTTCCTCCGACACTTTTCCTGTTGCCAGTGTTGGCAACATTGGTCTTCAGGCACAAGGAATACCATATTTTTTCCATTTTTTTCATTTAGAATGCTCTTTTTCATTTATAATGCTGTTTATTTATACAGAAGTTTTCTTCGTTGCTATCACAATGTAGTCATGCTGCTGACTTCTGATTATATCCAGGGTGCCTTGATTGTATTTGAAAGAGTTCTAAAACTTTTAAATCATGTTGTTATAGAGCTTCTTAGTAGTTTAAAGGCTTACTTATCTCCTTTTTTAATTAAAAAAATCTTTTTGAAAAATTAGGACATTTTACTTAAAACATTTCTTTTTGATGTGCTTACAGTACCATTGTAGCCCAAAATAAAGTGAGTTTAATGTTTTCCTTAATTCCTTGATTTTCCCCAATTGCATTCTCAGAGGATAACCTTGAAAGCACTTTACTTTTAGCTAATAATAATAAAATTAACAGTAGCTAATATTTATTGAGTATCTACTCTGTGTCACATGCTGTCTTAAGTGCTTTACTTCTGCTAACTCATTTAGCCTCTCCAGAATCCCATAATGTACTACTATTAAATCCATTTTGTAGTTAAGGAAACAGTCACTCTGAGAGGTAAGTGACTTGCCCAAAAGTAACTCAGTTTTTATGTGAAATCCAGGATTCAGAGCTGTGCAGCCTGGTTTCAGAGCTCTTAATGACACTGCTCTGCCTCCAGTTAGCACCATGTAGCTCTTACAAAGAAGCTTTGTAAGAGTGGACTAGAGGGGACTCACTAGAGGGTGAGAGAGAGTAAAGTGAAAAAAACGGCTGGGTTTCTAAGAAGCCCCTGAGAGGACAATATATCCCAAACATAAAAAGGCAAACTAAAAGGAAGAGAAAGTTCCCTGAAAGGAGACAAACAAGTTTATTTTAGAAATGTTGGTTTATAATACAGCAGGCAATTGAAAAGTGGTTCTGAGCTCAGGAGAAAAATAGGAGATTAACATGTAGATTTGTGCATGACTTTAAGATTAGGTGATTGTGATAGATTTAAGTATAGTGAGGCTTACCTAGTCTTTATAGCTTGAGAATCACCTTTGAAATTATGGTCTGCTAAATTCAAAGGTTCAGATATTGATAAGACTGTTTAAAACTGACTAGAACATAGTTTTCTTGCCAGGTGACACAGTCAAGATTGATCAAGACTTACTGTTAATTTGCCTTATGTAAAATGTTTTTTTTTAAATAAAGCTATATGAATAGTTTATCCTAAGACACTATAGTGCAAGGTTTCTCAGCATTGGCCCTGTTGATGTTTTATAGCAATTCTGACCCCCTTAATGATGATCAAACATGTCTCCAGACATTGCTACATATTCCCTGATAGGTATGGAACAAAATAGACCCCATTGAAAACCATGAGTATAGTGGGAAAAACATGGGCATTGGAGCTAGATAGACATGCAAATCCTGGCTCTAGCATGTGTTAGTTGTTGGACATTAGTCATGTCAGTAATCTCTAAACTTTGGCATTCTCATCTGTCAATTAGGGAATAATCTTACCCTGTAAAGTTGTTAGTATTTAACTAAACAAGTTGTAGTTTATGGATAGTCTGTACTTACTTCCCTTCCTCATAACTATTCACTGTTTACCTAAAGACTGGATACCATGTAGCTGAGATAATATTTGTAAAATATTTTATCAAAATTATTTTTTTAGCTCAGATATACAAAATCATATTCAAATCTGTGAGTTCTTTTATAGTTAATTATTCTCAGAGACTCACCTATAGGGTAGAAGGGGAAAGAAGTGCTTAGTTGGAAAAGTAGTTTCACAGGAACTAGTTAAGTTTTCAAAAGTGAGTATAGGCTTATTTAGTAAGTAATAATGGAATAAGGATTTAATAATTTTGAAAAAAACTAACTGCATAACAGAAATGCCTGATGAGTAAAGACCTGAATATTAAATTTCAAGCCACACAAAAAATGGAACAAATATCAAATCAGTGAATATCAAATGTACTTAAAAGTAACAGATATCTTTCAGCCTATATTTATGAAATACCTGTTTTGTGATAGGCTGTACTCCAGATGCTGTGAGCAAAAATTGTTGCCCCTATGGATCTTAAATGCTAAGGAAGACAGGATATATACATGATAAGTAAATTATATAATATGTTAGAAGCTGATAAATATAACTGAGAAAAATAAAGCACAGTTGGGGGTTGGACTGCGATGGGTGAAATTACACAGAGATTCGAAGGAAACGGGTATACTCATAAACTGTGGGACTGTCTGGGAGAAGAGTGTGCCAGGCAGAAGAAACAACTGGTAGGAGAGAGAGCTCAGTTTAACTGTTTACCATTAGGTAAAAAGGTTATTTTGTTATTAGTTTTTTAAAGTCGGTTTAAAAAACTTCATTTTATGTTGTCTTTCCAACATATTCTTACTGAATAAAAAGAAAGGTGAAACATCTTTTTTAGAAAAACTTAAATCAATGTTTATAAATCTAAAGGAGAAAATTTATTTTAGATTCAAAAGCAGAAAAGGGACCACCAAAAAAAAAATCAGTGTGTTTTGCTTTGTAAAAATAAGGACAACAAAAAACCCAAATAATTATTTGTCATAAATACGCCTAAGTCAATATTAAAATATAGGGAACTCATGCAGATTGATAAAACAATTTTCTACTAGAGTGTCCAGTTAATGAATGAGGAAGGATGTAAATAGTGTTTCCTCTCTTGTGAATTAGTGTTCATGTATTCTAACATACCCTGTTTGTTCTCTAGGACATGTTAAGTCTGATACCTTTACACATGGCTGTTGCGGAGCCTTTAATGTATTTCCCACTTACTCTAGTTCTGACAAACTTCTGTTTCTGTAACAAGTCTTAGCTTAGCCATTGCCCCTTCTGGAAAACCCCTCTTGCCTTTCCAGATGGAACTGACTCTTCTGCTATATGTTATACTTCACCATTATTACCTTATAATTAGGGTCACAGAGAGGGTTTTGTACCTATTTGTTGTCTTTGTGCATGTGGTTTGTTTTTTTAAACAAATGAACTAGAATGTAAATTCTTTAAAGAGAGTTATTAGCTGACATGTTCTTGTTTTATTTCTGGCACCTAGAATATTCCAGAGACTTGGCATAGTACATGCTTGATAATATTGATGAGTTAAAGTAGAATGCAAAACAGAGAAATACAATATATTATTATAGTTTTGAAAATCAGTGCTTTTGATAATGAATGTGAATCACTAATTATAAAGATAAACTTATGTAGTAAGCATTCTGAAATGTCTTTGAAAATACAGGCAACTTATATGAGGGGAGAGAAAATTAACAAATGGCACTCTCACTTTTTACCTAGAGTTACATGATTATAATATATTTAGAGATTGTCCAAGGAACCATAAAAGGTTTATGATCATTCCTGAATTTCTTTATGAGTCAAGGGAGTAAAATTCTCCATAAAAATTTAAATACTTGCTCATGGTTAGTAGACTGTTTCTTGTTGGAAATAGAACATTTATTTAAATCTTGGGAAAAACCAATTTACCTGATTAAAAGTGAAGTCTCGTTTGTTTTTTCTCAGTGAAAGTATTAAAAAACTACATTAAAATATTAATATCCTACCATAGGAAGTCAATGGTGACATGGTATAGGACTTGTTGCTTCATCTGTTCTATCTAGAGGAAATTCTAAGCTCCAAGAAACCTCACTGTGAGAGTCCTATAGGTAGCAGAATTTGCTTCATTCTGAAAATGTTATTATAGGTCATCATCAAGAATATGGGCTGGAATCTTATTGGTCCTGTTGTTCGATGCCTTTTATGGAATGATAAGGAAGATGATAAAAGAAAATATTTTCTGATGCTTGAGTTATTGATAAAGGTAAGTTAACAAACTGACATTTTCTGTCACGGTACACATCAGTATTTTATAATTTCCTTTTATGTTTAATGCTTGTTTTGTTTTTGGTGAGAAAGCTGTTTGTTCATGAAAATAAAGGAGGGAACTCTTTGAAGAAAGGTGCAAAGGGATTAGATGGGCAAGGCCATGTCGGTTGCCCTAAATTTTCTGGATATAAGAATTGTCTAACCTCATCATAGACCTACTAATTTAGATCTCTGAAGGGAGACCTAGTAAGCTTTATTTTTAATATTTTACAATAGCTTGTTGATGTGGAATTCAAAGTCTACAGATGTAGTTCAAGGTCACACATCTTTTGGCAATGTAGGAACTAAAATCAAATCTCAGTACACTTTACTCTGTGGTATGTTCCCTAAAAGAATATGAAAAACCTAAAATGCAAGTGATCAAAAGATAAATCTGAGGAAAATGACATAAGAATTTATTTAGGATTTCTAATCAAGATGGCAGCATAAGTAAACATGGCTTGCCTTCTCAAACACATTAAAACTACAACTAAATTATAGAACAGCCATCACTCAGAACTGGCAGAAGTCAAGTTGAATGAAAGTCTGACAACAGATTAAAAAAACCACATCTATTCAGACTGCTAGGAGGGGTGGAGATGCAAAATAGGCTGATTCCACATCCACTCGGATGTGTTGCCTCTCCAATATGCACCAACCAGGGACTGAACCCACAACGTAGGCAGGTGCCTTGACTGGGAATCAAATCTTCGACCTTGTGGTTTATGGGGTGATGCTCCAACCAACTGAACCACAGTGGCCAGCATGCTTCTTTTTAGTTTTACAGTGATTTGACAATCATGGATTCTGTTTTTGTATTTTATGTAATTATATGTGTATTTCTTGTAAAACTGGACCCCTTTAATGTTCTTTACAATGAAATAAATCTCTTGATGGTTACAGAAATATAAACTGTTCTGATAGTATAGTATGCAGAAACATCATAGCCAAGTTTTCCCAATTGGGGCATAGACTTCAATAATTACCAGGAGTTACTTGTATGAAACTGCTGTCACACCAGTAAGACTGCATTTATATATCCATCATTTTCAAGTTTATTGGTAACCTGGGCATATTTAACCCCAAATAACCTTGTCTCCTTATGTCACAAGTCCCAACTTGCTTATATTCACCTCAATGACAGTACCTTTGGTAGTAACACCCGAAGCTGTATAAAGTAGGGATGAGGGATTCTTCTTTGCACCAAGTATTGCAGGCAAAAGGTGGCTTTCAGTTCAGGATGTATTACACGTGCCTTTATGAAACAAGCCCATTGGCCTAATGAATCTCATGTCTAGTTGGTTTTTGAATAAAGCCATCTGCAACAAAGCAGACTTTAGTAACCATCCTCTTTCATGCTTCTTTCTTTTTCCTGTTCAAATAACTTCATATCTCTGTTTCTCCCTGGGCATGAACTTTGCACAAGGGACTTCCCATTTTCTCGCTCTTTCCATTTTTGTTTAATCATATTGGAAAGTACCTTAGTTAGGGACTGTCCTTCTCTGTCCAGTAGATAGACAGGTACTGCTCCTTGTGGAGTCTTTCCATTATTCTTTTCTTTGGTGTTTCTCTTTTCATGCCTCTTGATAGTCTTTTTCATTTGTATTTTCTCAGCATGGCACTGTTTATGGTAGCGCTTATCCTTCAGACCAGTCATCTTTTTTGCCTTTTTTGACTACTCACGAGGCTGTCACCCTAACTTTCTCTTTTTCTCATGGTAATCCAAACGATACCCATAGCGCTTACGGTGTAACTTAATATACTCATATTGTGGCATGGTTATGGCTGGGGTACAGTCCTCCATGCATGAAGAAGCTTTCAACTTTTGGGTCTCAGAGACCCCCAAACCAATTTCATGCAACTTGCAACAGGAAAGGCTATTATATAGATATTTTTTAACAATTGTATGAAGTACATTACTATAAAGCAAAAATAATTATATTTTCTCAGTATATATTTGTTTTTTTTTAATAGTAATCATGTGGCTTTAAATACAACTTGTATTAAACAGGTTCAATTGTGAATATTTTTATAGTTATGTAATCCCAAAGAATTATTGTTGGGTTTGCTTGAACTGATTGAAGAGCCCTCTGGAAAACAGATATCCCAAATTATTCTTCTTTTACTTCAGCCATTACAAACAGGTAATGATTATTTTGATACCTAAGTGTTTTTTATTTTCTGTGTAACTGCCTTGATATTACCCCCAAATGTCAACAGTATACCAAAGTAATGTTTATGACTAATTATTGAGTACTCTGCTTAGACTAGGAATAGCAGTGCCAATTTGAATCCTGCTGCCCATAGAAAGATAACAATACCTGATTCAAAGTGGGTACCTAGTAAATGTTTTGTTGAATGTCATGCTGTTTTTCATGTGCTGTGTTGTAACCGATAGCTTTTTGCCTAACCTTCCTATCTGCAACTTACATTCTAGAATTTATTCTATAATATATGTAAAAGATTACCTCTGTGCTGTCTGTAATACTCAGTCTGATAGCATTGTGGTAGTCCTGTATCTTGGTTAAGGACAATATTGGGCAGGTCATTGCTCAGCCTCAGCTTCGGGAGGTTAGAATTAAGAACAGCAAAAGTATTGCTGAAGAATGAAAAAACAGGTATGGAAAGAAAAGGCTTCATGATTAGGTGTTGTAACAGTATTGTTAAGTAATAGACATTAGCAACCAAGGCAGACAGTATTTATCCATGGAAAAGAGACTGCTTTTTAATTTTATGACCTACACGTAACTTTGGAGTCTGATATAAGAGCCCAGAATCAAACTAGGGAAAATTTGTTTTAAATGTGAATGCCCAGGAACTTTATACACCTTGAGGTATTCAGTCTTCTAGAAATATTCAGTCTTCTCTATTTTTATAGTACTTGATAGTTTACAAGACACTTGTTCTTATTTTATACTTAAAACAACAAAACTATATGGAGAAAAGTGTTTCTCTCTTAAGTATGTACCCTTGTGAACATACTTGAACAAGATTTCCTGGTGTCTATTGTAAAGTGCCACAATTGTAAGGTACTCCATTATTTCATACACCACTAAGAAAGGGGGGAAAACTGTACTTCCAATTAAGCTATCGTATGTCATCCTGATTCCAGAGTTGTTTAAATATGAAAAAAGAGTATCTTATAATTCTACATTAACTGAACTTCTTGTCTCATGTTTAGTGTGCTTGATGAGGCTACCTCAAGTAACAACTTGGTGTCTGTTTTAGTGATACAGAAACTTCACAGCAACAAGGCGTACTCAGTTGGATTAGCACTGTCTACCATTTGGAGTCAGCTATCTCTTCTTCCTGTTCCATACTCAAAAGAACAAATACAAACAGATGACTACGGCCTTTGTCAATGTTGCAAGGCCTTAGTAGAGTTCACTAAGCCTTTTGTGGAAGAAATCGTTGATGACAAAGAAAACTCACTGGAAAAGGAAAAGTTAAAGGATGAATTACTAAAATTGTAAGTATATATATACTTTTTTATTTTAAAATATTTTATTTATCTTTAGAGGGGAAGGGAAGGAGAGAGGGAGAGAAATATCAATGTATGGTTGCCTCCTGTGTGTCCCCCACTGGGAACTGGCCTGCAACCCAGGCATGTGCCCTGAAAAAATTGAAAGTATATTATTAAGAACAATTCACAATGCACCAAAGTATTGCTAGCTCAGTTATTTTATGTTTCTTTGTTTATTTGTTTGCAATGGAAATATAAATCTAGTTTCAAATTTTGAGTTTTCAAAGAGTATAGGGTTCAGTTGATGTAACAAGAGCATTTAATGAGGTATTGATATTTAAAAAATTAAATGCCAAAATCCATTTGTTTAATTTACTTTTTATAATCACCTTTACTCATATTAGTAAATGAATAATAGAAGCTGGGAAAGTAGATAGATGTAGCTCAAAGGATCTGGTCTTGCTGTGGGGGAATTGTGTTTTAACTCTTCCTTTGAAAGTAGAAGCAACACCAGACAGCTAAACATCTACCTTGACTGCAAAAAGCAGTAGTGGAGTTCCCAATAGCATTCACTCCACTGTTCAGTATGGTTTTCATTGACATATGGCTAGTCTAAATTAAGATGTGCTCTAAGTGGAAAATACACTTGGATTTCAAAGACTTGTTATAAAAAAAAACTTCAATAATTTGTATACTGATAAATTATTGAAATGATAATTTAGATAAATTGGGTTAATAGGATAAATTATTTAAATTACTTTTTTTTGTTTCTTACTACTTTTAAATGTAACTGCTAAAAATCTTTAAATTATGTATGGAGCTTGCATTATATATCTATTGAACAGTGCTAAAACTAGAGTATTGAATTACATGGACCGATAATTTTATATTGTTATTTTTATTTATTTATTTACTTATTATTTAGAGAGGCGAAGGTAGGGAGAAAGGGAAACATCAAAATGTGGTTGCTTCACATGCACCCCCTACTGGGGACCTGGCCTGCAACCCAAGCATGTGCTCTAGACTGGGAATCAAACCAGTGATATTTTGATTTGCAGGCCGGCATTCAACCACTGAGCCACACCAGCCAGGGCCAATAATTTTATTTTTAAAATTTTAGAATCTAAAACTGTTAGCTTTTTGCTCTTTCAGGTTAGGACATTAAGATATATTTTTAATTATGTATAAAATCCATTATATCATGAAAGAAAAGATATTTAAAGAAATAAGAAAGGTTTAATCAAAGAATAGTTTGGTTTTCTAAATAAAATACAGCTTGATGAAAAAATTACTACATTGTCCCAATTTTTTCTTGAGCTAACAAAAATTACATCATGAATTAACACTGGCCCTCAGACAAATATTCAGTATCCATTGGAATAGTCCAGAAACAGAACTGAAGCTTACCATATTGGGTCTCGCAAGGTGTTCTCATGCTCTTCCCATTACTAGTAAGAAGGATGCTTACGTTGCCAATTTGACAAATCATTGAGTTATTGGTGCTATGTAATTTTCCATCTACAATAATCTATTTAAATATGTTTATAGAACTAGTTGCTTTATAGTTAGGAAGTGCTATATTCATAGTTACCCAATTCTTATACCTTAGTTGCTTCAAAAGCTTGAAATGCCCTTTGCTGACAGCACAATTCCCTGAACAGTCTGAAGAAGCTGAAAATGATCCTTTAAGGTGTTTTGCATCTGAAATAGTAGTAAGTACAGCTAATTTAATCTGTATAAAATCTTCTAAAATGTAAAATGTTGTCCTGCTGTATTCTCATGTACTGCATGTGAGCATTTAAGTTGATACATTTATTAATAAAACAGTATGTATTTTTCTGTAGAACATAAAAATAAAATAGATAGCAATAATTTCATTACCCAAATATAAATAATATTAACACCTTCCAGATGTTTTTGGCTTTTATAGTCATAAATAAACACTATTATAATATATCTTTTTTTTCCCAAAAATTCTGTTATATTTGTCAACCACTTTTTTTGTAATTCATTTTTGTTTCTCTTAGCATATTATAAATGTTTCTCCATTGGTGAAATAGTATTTCATTGTATGGATTTAGCATAATGCATTTAACCTGGGCCGTGTAAGTTCAACATCTTGATTTTTAAAATTTTCATTATTGTAAAATACACCAACTTTCTTTTTGAACTAAATCTGTGATAAGAATCCTGTTAACCAAATCTTTGCATATTTCTTTTTTTTTTTTTTACTTGACATGGCTTCTTTGCCTATTTCTTTAATTGTTAAATTACTAGAAGTGGGATTTCTATGCCAAAGAATATCCTTACTTTTAAGGATCATAATAAATATTTTCAAAACAACTAAAGAAAAAAGTACATTGAATTTTACTGATTGGTTGAGAAAGAGAAACATTGATTTGTTTTTCCACTTATATATGCATTCATTGGCTAATTCTTGTACATACCCTGACTGGGGATTGAACCCACAAAATTGGCCTATTGGGACAACACTCTTAACCAACTGAGCTACCTGGTCAGAGCAGTAAATTTTATTTTAAAAGCAACTTGTCTTTATGCTTCAAGAGTATACATGTGCTGGGATTTTATATTAGGGAACTAACCTGAAATATAGAAAAATTGATACTTGAGATTGATAGTCATGAATTTCAAGTTACAGCTGTAATTGTGGCTGTTGGTTTTCATTACCACATTCATCTGCCCAAATGCAGGTATAGTGTAAGTGGAAAGTTGGATTTAATTAGGTCAGAGTTTTGAGAACTGTGTGAGTTCTGTAGTACAAATCAAGGCATTGATGCCATGCGGGGGAATGCCTAATGATGGGCCATAGGGTTTAAGCTCAGTAAGGCAGGAAGTTAGGACATACTAAATGTGAGACACAGTGAAAAGATGATAGGATCACTAGATTGTAGGTCCTGGTGTGAGTCACAAGGTGTTGGAGTTAGGTTACTTAAAGGAGTAAGCTGAAGACATCAGCATTTAAAAAACAGGATGCCTGAAGTTTTCTTTGGGGGCCTCTAAAGATGAGATATGCATAAATGGCAGGAAAACCATTCTGCGGGCTCCACAAGCACAAGAACTTTGTCTTAGTCACCCGGGGTACCCTTTACACCATGGAAATAGGCCTGGGTATATCCATCCCATTGACCTGCCAACAGCAATCAGGGCTAAACTACAAGAGGAGGGTGTACTCAGACCCCATGGAGGGCGCACCTCAAGTACCCAGCTTGGGTGATAAGGGACGCTGTGCCACTGGACCCTACAGGACACTTACTACATTAGGCCACACTACCAAGACACAGAGTCAAAGCAGCTCTACCTAATACATAGGAACAAACACAGGGAGACTGCCAAAATGAGGAGACAAAGAAACATGGCCCCCCAAAAAGAACAGATCAGAACTCCAGAAAAAGAACTAAACGAAATGGAGATAACCAATCTATCAGATTCAGAGCTCAAAACACTATAAGGATGTTTAAGGAACTTAGTGAGGACCTCAACAACATTAAATAATCCAGTCAGAAATGAAGGATACACTAACTAAAATAAAGAACAATTCAGAAGGAAAAAACAGTGGAGTGGATGAAGCTGAGTATTAAAGCAATGATTTGGGTCATAAGGAAGCAAAAAACAACCAATCAGAATAAGAAAAAAGAATCCAAAAAATGAGGATAGTAGAAGCAGCCTCTGCTTGACAACTTCAAGCATTCTAACATTCACATTATAGGGATGCCAGAAAGAATAGAAAGAGCAACAAATGGGTCTACTTGAAAAAACAATAAAAGAAAACTTCCCTAATGTGGTGAAGGAAATAGACATAAAAGTCCAGGAAGCACAGAGACTCCAAAACAAGAGAATACAAAGAGGCCCACTTCTAAGGCACATCATAATTAAAATGCCAAAGGTTAAAGGTAAAGAGAATCTTAAAAGCAGCAATAGAAAAGTAGTTGCCTAGGGGAGTGCCAATAAGACTGTCAGAAGATTTCTCAAAAGAAACTTTGAAAGCTAGAACGAATTGGTGAGATATTCAAAGTTATCAAAAGCAAGGATCTGCAGCCAAAATTGCTCTACCTAGAAAAGGTATTATTTAGAATGGAAGGGCAGGTAATGAGCTTCCCAGAGAAGGAAAAAACTAAAGGAGTTCATTATCACCAAACCACTATTATATGAAATGTTAAAGTGACAGTAAGTCACTTTAAGAAAAAAAGGTCAAAATTATGAACAATGAAAAGGCAATGAATACGTATCTATCAACAATTGAATCTAAAAAAAATCAAATTTAAGTAAATGAGAAGAACAAGAGGCAGAATCGTGGATACAGAGAGCCTTTTGACAGTTGCCAGATGAGAGGGAGGTATGGGGGAATGGCCAAGAGGAAAGAGGATTAAGAGGTACAAATAGGTAGTTATAGAATAGCCACAGGGATATAAATGTAAAGTACAGGATAAGAAATGGAATAGCCACCTGGCTGGTGTAGCTCAGTGGATTGAGCAGAGAGTACAGGCTGCAAACCAAAGGGTCGCTCTCCAATTCCCAGTCAGGGCACATGCCCGGGTTGTGGGCCAGGTCCCAAGTAGGGGGCACTCAGGAGGCAGCCACACATTGATGTTTCTCTCCCTCTTTCCCTTCCACTCTTCTCTGAAATAAATAAAATCTTTAAAATAAAATAAAGTAAAAAAAAAAAAAGGAAATGGAATAGCCAAAGAATTTATACAAGACCCATAGAGATGAACAATGGTGTGAGGATTGCCTGAGAGAGTTCGGGGTGCTGGGTGGAGGCGGGCACAGGGGGGGAAATCGGGACATCTGTAATGTAATCAATAAAATATAATATAAACAAAGAGTATAGGCCTCTTCATTGTTACTAATGCTAGAGTACAGTATAATCTCCTAGATACAGTATAAAAACCATCATATATATATATATACCCTATTTTGAGAGATGGAATGAAAGTTGGAAACAGTTAAAGGATTTTAAGCCTGGAAGTGACATAATCAAATTGTGTTTTGGACTTGTCACTTTAATGGGGGATGAACTGAACTGAGATAAGATTGGAAGTAGGGAGACCAGTTAGGTGTCTTTGGAGTTAAACATCAATGTGAGAGAGAAACATTGATCAGTTGCATCTTATATGCGCCCCAACATGGGACTGAACCTGCAACCCAGGATTTTGCCCTGACCTGGAATCAAACTGGTGACCTTCCCACTGTGCAGGACACTGCCCAGCCAACGGAGCTACACCAGTCAGGGCCTGCTGTAGTATTTTATAGCAAGTCCTAGATTTGTCATTATATCCATAGATCTTTAAGTATGCTGCTCTAATTGGTAAGGACTTTTAAGAAAGTAACCACAATGTCATTATGACACTTGACAAGATTAACAATGATTTCTCCATATATAATACCCAGGGAGAGCAGGTTTTTAAGGAATAAATTTTGATTAAGGGGATGAGATCACCTAAAGAGATCAATGTGAGAACAGAAAAGGGCTCAGGACTGAACCCTACTGCACTTAAGAGCCCACCAAAGAGACGAGGGAGGGAGGAAGAGTAGTAGAAATATGACAGAAACTGGGGTGGCAGAGTTTCAGGAGATGGAAGCGATTGATATCGCTAAGTGCAGTAGAGAGAGCCTGTAAAGTAAGAGTTGAAAAGGATCCATTGGATGTAGGAAGTAAAATCGCATTGGTAGCCTCAGCAAGAACAGTTTGAGTGGAGTATTAGAAACAAAAATATAATTGGAGTGGATAAAGGAGTGCACGAAAAATGAGAAAAAGGAGATGATTAGTATAAGCTCTTCTTTCAAAGAGTTCGGAAGTGTAAGGAAGAAGAGAAGCAACAGCTACAGGACATGGGCTTAGGGTAGGAAGGTAGTGGAGGAGGTAGGGAGGATTGAGCATGTTTATAGCCCAAAGGGGTGAGAACCGTTAGAAGGGAGAAGAGACTTGTTCAGGGATAACTGAAATAATGTGGCTTGAGGAGAGCAGACAGCTGGGCATAGGATCAAGGACACCTGGGGAGGTCAGAATGGGCATGCATGTAGAGAAATTTGTAGTAGGAGTATAATATTCTAATTGGGGGGAATCAGACCCTCTAGCCTCAGATTTCTAGGTAAAGAAGATTTCTTAAGAATGAAGAGGTAGAAATGGGGATTGAATAAGGAGCTTCAGGAAACTGGTAAAGGTTTGGGATACTGAGGGGAAAAGAGATGGTGGAAGACAATGGGAACTCTGCTGGTTGGAGACCACAACTGTGGTTATAACAGTCTGTAATTTTGTGTGATTTTCTACATTTAGCTGCCTGGATGTGGAAGTGTAGAAGGTGGAGGACAGCTATTTTTTTTTTAAGGCTAGCATTTAATTGGGTAGATGCAGCTAAAGGAAATACAGAGTACAGATAGTTCAAATGACCAATAGTGTATTGGCTGGATAGGGAAGGAGGGGAATTTAAAGGGGACAGAAGGATAGATTAAAATGAAGGGATTACGGGACTGGAAAGTCAGGTAGAAAAGCAGGTTGGTAGGAGAGAGGGAATTAGAGGTAGTGGTCAGAAAATGAGATGATGGAATTAGGTGCCAAAATGGATTAGAAGTTAAGGTCACTATAATTTTGAAATCAAGAATCATGAGGCTGGCCTATTAGAAGAGTTCATCTACATGAACATTCAACTTTCCCAGAGTTACAGCAGGAGTTGGATAGAGATAACGATTGTGAGCAGGTACCAAAGTCTTTAGTGAATGTTGAGAAATAAGGACAGATGAAGGGCAGTATGATATCTGCCTCAAAGGAAAAATGTGCTTTTCTTTGAGAGTACTGGAAGAACCAAAATAATACTAAGCCGCTACCCATACCACCCTTCCCCACTGCTGCCTACCTGGCTGTGCCATGGAAGGTATGAGAATATGAGCAGCTCCCACCAGAAATCAGTCAGATGTAATTCAGTTAGTGAGACAGAGCAAGCATCTTGTGCAGAGGTTGAAGGTGTGGGGGAGAGTTTCTAAGATCACAGTGGAAGGAAGGAGCATTACAAGTTCGAAAGAGCTGTGAGGAGGCGCAGAGCGATCAAGAATTAAAGGTGAAATCAGGGTAAGAGATGAAGCGAGCCTTCTGTTTTATGCTCACCTAACTGTGGCATGCTAGAGTTTGATGGCCTCAGCCATCCCTCCTTTGGCACATGCTATTTTGATAGAGAACTGTTGGAATGTCTGACAGGCTGTAGCCTAGAAACATTTCTGAAAGGGCAGAGGCTGCCATGAAAAATTGCAGAGTGGCAGGTGTATCCTGGGTCTGAGCAAGACTGCTGGATGGAGTGTGGATAGTGAAGGCCCTGGTGTAGAGCAGCTTTGTAGAATCTGGTTAAATAGGATGATTTTTGAAGAGGCCAACCTTACTCCGGGGTGGGGGGGGAAACACATATAGCATTGGCTGGATGAAGAAATAGAGCTTCATGATTAAGAGGATATTTAGAATCTGAGCATAGGAAACTTTTGGTGTTATAACTATAACAAGAATGTATGGCTTTGAACATCAGTGTAGCAGAGTATATATTTAGCATCTTGCTGATGAATAGCAGTCTCTTGTGACTGAAGGTGATTTTCTATTCTTCCTTTTTGTGTTCTGAAATGACTTTATGAAGCCATCTGGAATCAGCAGGTTTTAAAGCTCTATTTGGTTTTATAATTTCCAACTATTTCTGGCCCAGTGTGTAGTACTCAAGCATTTATTGAATAAATAAGTGAATAAATCAGAAGGTATTCATTGTGATTTAGCCATTTTGATTATTCCCTTTTATTTTTATTTTTAACTCAATTGAATTTATTAGGGGACATTGGTTTATAAAATTATATAGGTTTCAAGTGTTCAGTTCTATAATAATATCATTTGTATATTGTACTGTGTGTTCACTATGTCATCCCTTTTTTATTTCTGTGTAGTAGTTTGTTGTGACCTCAACTTTCTTGTACATTTTTTGTACAAGAAAATTTGACATATTTTGTGAATATGTCAAATATTAAGAAGCTTCTGTCATATTCTGCATACAGATACTGAGAGAGAAGTTAGGTAACTCGTCCTGTATCTCACAGCTAGTAAGTGGTGGAGCCAAAACTCAAATAAACTCCACTGGATTCTGCAGGTCAGGTGCTTTCTAGTATACCAAAACCAGAAATAGAACAAGAGGCACAGGAGTGATGTTATACTCTGAGTCTCTTTTTTTCTCTCTTTCTTTCCTTAATAAAAAAAAGATAAAATTGTCGTCTTATCCACTCATGCAGGAATGCTCTCTCTTTTGTCCGTATCTAGGTGTACAGTCGTCACTGGAGCATTGCATTAGAGTATTCTTCACCTGAGTCATTACCTGTCATTTCATGATATTTGCATGTCTCACATATGTAGATTGCTCCCAAAAATCTCTGAAGCACCTTGATTTTAAAACTTGTGATAAAATATACATGACAAAAATGTACCATTTTAACAGTTTTTAAGTATGCAGTTCAGTGGCATTGAGCACATTCACGTTGCTCTGCAGCCATCATTACCATCCATCTCCAGAACTTTTTCATCTTCCTACTGAGTTCTTTCAGGTTGTGGGCACAATTTATTTTTCTTGAAGCTGTAAAGTTGAAGCCCCCATTTGCTTGCTGACTGTTGGCCAGGGACCACTTTCAGCTCCTAGAGCCCGACTGTGGTTCCTTGGCACACAGCCTTCTCCGTAGGCTCGCTCATGACATAGCAGCTTAGTTCTTTAAAGCCAGCAGTGGTGGGGTCCAGGCCCTCCCTGCACCCTCTGTTGAGAACCTACCTGATTATGGCAGGCCCACCAAAAATTGTCTCCCTTTTCAGTAACTCAGACTCAACTGACTTGGGACCTTAATTACATCTGCAGAAATTCCTATTCTTCTCTCATGTAACATAATCTAATCGTGGGAAGCATCTTGGATGTTCTTTTGGTAAAAGCAACTCTCACAAGTCTCACCCACACTCAAGGGGAGGGGATTATACAGGGTGTGAATATGGAGGGGCACACCAGAGTCTGTCTGCTACAGCTTCCTTTTTTAATCCATTTCACAGGGGTTTTTATCAGCAATTGGATACCCTTTCCCAAAAATGATTTTGAATCATGGAAGGAAAAAGAGGACTTGGGATTATCTTGAATTTGAAGAAGAAGAAGACAAACAATTAGCAGAGTCTATGGCTTCTCTGGCATATCTAGTATTTGTACAGGGCATCAGCATTGATCAGCTGCCAATGGTGTTAAGGTAGGAGGTAGTGTTTGGTTTATTCATGTATCGTAAAGGGAATATCATCAAGCTCACTTATCTAATCCAATATATGTTCATTACCGTACTAGTATGTTTTAAATGAAGTATAAACAAAAGAGCTCTTTATTTTAAGTAATACTGCCTGTAATTCATAAAAGCCAGTAGTCAGGTATTGAAAAGGGTTTGGGGTGTTGTTGACAGAGACATGAGGGAATGACAGAGACAAAAGAGAGAAAGTGTTAACTTGGGTGTGGTATTGAAGCTGTTGGGACCACCCTGTACTGTAAGGGAGGGACTGGCTAGTTACCCACGGGGTAGTCTGGGTCACCATCATCTCTTCACTGGATTCCTGATGTAATTCTGAGGGGTATTTATCAGTCCCTTAATGAAAACCCTTCAGTGGCTTATTGTTCTGAGAGGGAAGTCTCAGTGCCTTCACATGAGACAAGCTTATGAATAACCTCATGTTTGGTTGTTCAGATTCACCCCTACAACCTTTTTTCTTGTTTCTTATGCTCCAGTGACAGACCTTCTTTTGGTTTCTATGTTGTTCTCATATGTCCTGAACTTCCCTTGCTATAGGACCTTTGTATATGCTTAGAACCATCTTTATCCTTAAATGTCACCTTCTGAAGAAAAAGCCGCCTTTCACCACCCTGTTTAGGTTGGAGCTTCCTGTTAATATTAACCTCACCTTTTCCTTTTTCCATAAAGTCTATCAAAATTTTTAAAAAATAAATATATAATTTTTATAATATAATACCTTTTGGGTGTTAAGGCCCTTAATAAGGATTATGTATATGTCTTGCAGGCCTTGAGTGTATTCCTTTGTGTACATTTGTATGTTTATGTAAGAAATACCTGGGATATGTTTATACATAAATATTACAGTAATGGCTAGCACTTGTGTGCTCACCGTGTATTAAACACTATGCTAACAGTTTTATATGCACTACCTAACATGAATAACCCTATGAAATAGAGCATTATCTCATTTTATAGAGGAGAATAACAGATTTAAACAAGTTAAGACACCACCCAAGACCATACAACTAATTAATGGGATCAGTGGAATTTAAACAGTTCCGTCTGACCCAGAGCCTGTACTCTTCAACATACTGTACCACCAGAGTGACTTCAATATGTATATTAGTTTACTGGGGCCACCATAACAAAGTACCACAAACAGGGTAGCTTGAAATAACAAAAATTTATTGTTTCACAGTTCTGAAAGCTATAAGTTTGAGGTCAAGAACAGGATTGGTTCCTTCTGAGCTCTGAAGGAGAATTGGTTACATGCCTCTTGGCCTCGCTTCTAATGGTTTGCGGGCAGTCCTTGATGTTCCTTGGCTTGTAGATGCAACACTCACTCCTCTGCTTTTGTGTTCATAGGGTGCTCTCCCTGTATGCATATCTCTGTCAGCATTTCCTTTTTTTTTTATTTGGTAAGCACACCATTCATATTGGATTAGGACTCACACTAATTATCTCAGTTTAACTTGATTACCTGCAGGATACGGGGTTCAGGCTCTGCCCCTGCCCATTCCTTTCCCAATTGAAAAAAAAAAGACCTTATCTCTAAATAAGGTGGTATACTGAGATGGATGTGGTGGAGGTTAGGATTCCACTATATCTTTTTTTGAAGGAGACAGTTCAACTCATAACTTTATGTATATCAAACTTCTAAAAGTACATGCATGTGTGTATTTTCTTCTATTTTAGCCCATCATACCTTTTGCGATTTAATATGGGGCATATTGAAGTCTTTTTGCAAAGGTAAGATCATTTATATGGCGTCTCAGAATTAAGTAGTAGTACTAAAATAGTCGTTGTCAAGATCAGGGGCAACTACCTTGTATTTCCTAGGCCTTAATTAATTAATTGGTTATTTAATAAAACAGTGAAGCACATATGTACAGCAGAGATGGAAGTGAGTCAGAAATTTTTCACATCAAAATCTGTTTTAGGTAAGGGGATATCTAGTCTTCAACTTCTGAGGTTTCTTCCCTTATTTCAGAAGGTGGTAAATTAAAACACCTCTACTCCCCTGTAGCTCCTTTTGCTCCTGTGTCTAAGGAGGGGTGGTCAGTAAAAACAATTAACTCATGTTTTTGCTTCATGGATACAACCTGTGCATTTGAAAGAGGTGTCTTGAATCCACCTGTTAAAACTTAGATTGACAGTGATATCATTCAACAACTTTTTTCAAAAGCAAGATTTTGTCTTTTAAAAAATGACAAAGTAACTTTAAGAATTTTGCAAACCTATATGTTGTGTTTCTTTTCCTTTAATGTATAAATTATCTCTTGAGATCAGTCAGGGCCTTTCAGTACTCTCTGGGAATGCTGGTGATAGTTTATCAGTCCCATCTCTTCCCAGGTGAAGGAAAATTTTTAATAGGGCAAATGTCCAAAGCCTCAGCCGACAAGGCGGGAGTTTCCAAGGGTATTCTGGCACAAGTAGTTATTAACTCTCAAATTTACTGTATTTGTATGTCTTAATGATTTTACATTCTTTTCATTTCATTTCTGTTATATTCATACAATGAGAGTATGTATTGCCTTGAATCTTAAGTTGTATCTTCCTCAGATTTTCAAACTCTTTAGTCACTGAGCCAAAAACAATACTTCTAACTCCTTGCATGGTTAGAATAATAACCTAGAGCCTAACATAATATTTTCTTGGCGATCTTAAATATTTAGTTAACAACAATTATAAACCTTTAAAAATATTATTACAAATGAAAACCATTTAATCTTTTTATATAAAAAGAATTGAAAAGGTTTTTCAGATTAATCAACTGGAATACACAGTACTATATTGGGTATAATCACTTAGCACTTGCTGTTTGAAGATCTGTTGGTTTGACACCATGAAACAGGCCCTGCATGAACTGATTTTGGTCATATTTGGATGTCATTAGCTGATCAAAAGATCACCAATGTAAGAATTTTGACTAAGTTCTTTAACAGAAATTCTCCTTAATGATACATGTTTCAAGTCTTTAAATTTCAATTTTTAGTCTTTATTGCCTAAAACAAAGAATCAATCTAAGAAATTTAGGAAGTCATGTCAGTAAATTTTAATATTCTCTTCTAGAACAGAAGAATCTGTTTTGTCCAAAGGACTGGTAAGATTTATTTTCACCAATCATAATTTAATTTCATAGTCATGCCAACAAATACAGCTATTGACTTTACCATATATGTATTTCTGCATATGTTTTCACCTGTAGGATCTGTTTGAGAATGGTTTGTTGAGAATAGAAGACAATAGTCTACTTCACCAGTACTTAGAAATCAAGAGTTTTCTGACTGTACCTCAGGTAAGTGAAATATGGATTCTAATCTTAAAAATAACCCCTTTCCTATTCTGAATTTAAGTAAAGGAGTGGTCTTTTGAGACCCCTCTCCCTCTTTGTTCTCCATATCTTTTGAAAACTTCAGTGCCATGCTGACCAATAGGACTCTGTGGTATGAAAGTGTCCTATTACCTGTGTGGTACAGTATGGAAGCCACTAGCCACACTGAACAATCGAAATGTGGCTAGTGTGACTAAGGAGCTGAATTTTAAATTTAATGTAATTTAAATTAATTAAACTTAAATTAGCCATACGTGGTTAGTGGCTACCATAGTTGACAGCATTAGCTTCGAATGGAAAATAAAACTTTCTTCTTTAACATTTTGTTTCTCTAGGGGCCTTGGAAAATGAAGCCCCTTTACTTTTATTATCATTCAAGTTCTTAAGGCTTCATCAAGGCATACATTCTCCTTTCTAAAAAGACATTTTGTTTTTCCCTCTAAAGATCGATTTTGTCTAGTACTGTCTGTTATCATAGCCAAGTAGATCCTTAGAGGTCTCCCTAAAGACGTGTTCTTCCACTATTTAAATACAAAAACATGGCTTTTGTTAGTGTATTAAGCCTAAATATTTTTAATGATGAATTATATTTCTGCATGTTTGATACCATTTTGGGCCACTCTTCCCATAACTGAAAATTGTCATTTACCTCTAAGCTTACAACTTTGTAGCACTGCACTCAGTGTCACAGAAAGGACTGTCTTGCTCAGCTTCCCGTGGACCTCTAGTGGAATGAAAGTTTTTGGGGGAAATTCTTTCATTTTTACATCTTCTATCCTCACTTCTCTGAATTTTTAGTATCTACCACTGATGATATATTTGTTTCTTTGAAGTCAGAATGAGCTATTCACATCTGAATTAAAAATCTTTTTTATTTCCAGAGCTTAGTCAAAGTAATGACGCTCTGCCCTGTTGAGACATTGGTATGTAAATGTTTGACTAATGAGTTACAGTGAGAAATTTTAGTAAACAATTTAATCTTTATTCAGTTTATGTAACTATTATTTCTTCCATTTTAGAGGAAAAAGGGCTTAGCTATGCTTCAGCTGTATATTAACAAGTTGGATTCTCAAGGCAAATATACGTTATTTAGGTATGTATCAAGAATGGTTAATTGAGAAGTGTATGGTTGATTTAAAAAACAAATTAATGCCATTTAATTATTCCAGTTATAGTATTTCCATATGTTTTAAATATAATTCAGCTCTACTTGGAAGCCATATTATAATAAATTCTCTCCTCTGTGATGGATAGAGAAGGGTTAATCAAATGTTACAGATACATATATACGCACATATATACTACACAAATAATAGTACATATTTTCTTCAGTTAATTGAGATACTGTATAACTGAAAAAGACCTAAAAGATTAAGCAGATTGTTAAGGGTCATGCTAGAACTTTACATATTCAATAATTTCCATTATTCACAGTTGAAATTAATCGCTCTGGAGTCATTGAGAGGCTATTTGCTTTAGTTTAATAGTTGAGCTTATTGATAGTGCTATTTGAGGGGAAAAGTATCTCTGCGTTAGAGAAAAGCCAAGTTTCTCCAAAAGGCCAACAGTAACTGTAGGCATTATGGGTTAGTCTCGGTTGCAAGTGCTCAATTTTGTCTTTGTAGTGAGGGTAGGTGTGTTCAAACAAAACAAGCGAAGGCTGGATTTGGCCTGCAGATCTTACTTTGTTGACATTTAGGTAATAAAAATTAGTTAAAAACAGATTTGGGCATCATTAAAGTGTTAAGAAGTTGTCTTTGGGATTGGCCAGAAAGAATACTCTTGATCCTATGTTTTCTTCATTTCTATTGATAGAGTCAGAGCAGGTATATGAAATCTCAATTTTATGCTTAGGTCTTATACCTGTTCTGATCTACCTGGATTCCTCAGATTAATTTTCCTTTCTTTGCAATTAAGTTAGTCTAACCAGATTAGCCTACTTTCACAGGGAATAATTTGAGGAGTTTTTAGGTGATTATACTAGCTCCCAGTCTTGCCATATTAAATCATTGCAACTATATGCATAAAAAGATTCAAATTTTATTTGATCCAGTTAAAATAGAATTTGCTAGCTAGAGCAATAATCATAAGTGGCTTTATAGTTGGTTAACATCTTGCTAATTGTCTTCACTGGTTTTTGTATTCCTAGTAATAGAATATGACCCATTTGAATTTGTAAAACCTGTATCATTATTATAATGCAGTCCAGGATAATTTCAAATATATTTTTATTTTGCTTTCAAGGTGCTTACTGAATACAAGTAATCACTCAGGTGTGGAGGCCTTTGTTATTCAAAATATCAAAAATCAAATCGACATATCATTAAAGGTAAGAGCATAGCTAAGGTATCAGTTATCAAATATTTATATTTTATTTTTGTAGGATTTATTTATTTGTGGATACATTAGTATGGATTTTTACCCTATGGGTTTTTTTCTATTTCTATCATTAAGGGTATATATTTTTCCTTATTTCTATTTCTTTTTTAAAAACCTGAATTTTGAAACTTTCTTATAGATGTAAATTGCATTATTTGTGCTGATAACATGACTTCTTTTTGTTTTGCTGTACACTTCTGAAATATTAGTGGATACTAAAATCTAATCTGTTTGTGAATACTCAGTAATTGCATTTAGAAGAAGAGAGAGAGAAAAAGAATGCCCGTGTTCACACACTGGCAGAGTTTGTTCCAGGTGTCTGAAAATAATAAATGACAGAATGGAAATTAAACATCTATATCTATATATAATGTGTAATAGTTTATTTTTATAGTGTCGAGGTATTAGAAAACATATTTATGAAGCTATTATTTAAAGCCTTTCTCAGTTTTTCTTTTGTTTTACAGAGAACACATAACAAGTGGTTTACAGGACCACAGCTAATTTCCCTTCTAGATTTGGTACTCTTTCTCCCAGAGGGCGCTGAAACAGATCTACTGCAAAACTCAGATAGGTAAGGTGATCGTTACTAAGGTTCACAAAGTAAATTGAAAATAAAGTGAGAAACCTAAAGTAATAAACCGTATTTCCCGGTTTTACATGATCTATGGTTAATTCACAGAAGTACATAAAGATTTTCATATGTAAGTAATTAAGTACTATGTAAAAACATAATCAAAAACCACTTTTCTTTCCAGACGTATGACCAACAGTATGATTTTGTACCTTTAACAAACCCAGCATTCCCATATGGCTCATAGAGATCTACAGCCTTGGTGACTAAAAACTAAGGATCTCGTGTGTATAACTCATGCAATGTTTGTGTTTAGGTTTTATTGTTTTGTTTTCTAGGACATCATGTTTTTTTCATATAGAACATGTAATTTCACTTTCATTATGTTATTGTAGAATGGTTATTGAGAAATAGTTGTGAGTATTTATATAAGGAACCTTACAATTCAGGAAACAACAGATGATGTACTCAAATATTAAGGACAACAAGGCTTCCTCAGGGGGAAAAACAGTAGTGTTTTTACAGTTGTACTTTGTGAACTTGGAGAACAAGAATGATAAGTCATTACTACTTCAAAAGATATGTTAAAGGGAATACACAGTTACACACAGATTTTCGGCACCCCAACCTCTGCATTGGTCAAGGGTCACTTGTACGCTTAACAGCAAACATAATTATAAAAATATACCTTAGGTTTTAGCTTACTTTATTCATTTAGGTTGCTGTTGATTTTATAAAACTGTACTGTAAGTAACAAATTATATATTTTTAATTAACAGGATAATGGCTTCATTAAATTTATTGAGATATTTGGTTATCAAAGATAATGAAAATGACAATCAAGTAAGTTTTTTGTGAGTATATTCACAATGCATAAAGAGTGTTTCAGATTTTCCTATCAATATCTACTTAAGCCCAGTATTTCATATCTTACCTAGCTACAAAGGCTGGAAGAAGTGCCAACAATTATTCTGAAACCTGAAGTTAATTCCCAGAAGCCCTTACCACCCCACATCCCTGCTTCCCTTCCCTTTTCCTGTTGTACCTCTGCTCTCTTGCTATAAGCATTGCTTAGACCTGGTAGGTAGGGATGTTAGAAGTCCTAAGTCATCTAACCTTTTGGGACTCAACATACATTTGGGTGTCTTATACATTTGGGTGTCACGTCGTCTCCAGTTGCCTCACGCCTATCAGTCATGATTTCAGTCTGAGCTGTAAATAATAAAACCATCTGATAATTGGATGTCCCCTCATCAGACATGACAAATTGAAGCATTTTCAGCACTAAAATCTGTTAACAGCACCTTTTGGATGATGTGTAGGAAGTTGGATTTATTTTTGACAGTGCATCATTAGAGGTATTCAATAAATAGAAAGCTGTTTGAGGGAGTTTTGTCATACAGTAAAATTACATTTGCTTTTTATCATCTCACTTTCCACCTACTCTATTCTAATAGTTGCTTTCCCTATGTGTCATATCTATTAAGTTTAACTGCCTGAATCACCTGTGCTGTTAATCTGTTTCTTACTTTAGAAAGTAATAAAAGAAATGAAAGTAATTGACTTTTATACAGATGCCAAAGAGCTTTGTTTTTTGTTAAGTAAATTGTGATTTGGAATAAAAAGCTTATGAAAAAAGTAGCAGTTTGCTTCCCTCTTGATTAATCTAGTCCACTCAGTGATTTTACCCATTCATAGTCCCTCTTCTGCCAAAAACAGTTATGTGCTGTCATTGACTAGTGCTCACTCTGTGCGTGGATGCCTTGTTCTTTTCTAACTTTGTATTGTGAAATTTTTCAGACATACAGTCAAGTTGAAAGGCTGTTACAGTGATCACTGATTATCTACCTATTTACCCTTATCATCTATCCACCCATCAGTCTCTTAAATTTTTTGACACATTTCAAGGTCAAATGCAAACATTAGCATACTTCCCCCTAAATATTTCAGCATGTATTTCATTGAGTGAAATATCTGTGTGTAGTTTTTCTTTAAGTTAAAATTTACATAAAATGAAATGCACAGATATTAAGTGTATATTCAGTTTTAACAAATGCATAGATCTGTATTTTCCAAATCCATATCAAATATAGAATATTACTATCATCACATGAAGTTCCCTGTTTCCCAACCCAGTTAATTCTGACCTCATCACTCCACACCCCTCCCTCCCTGCTACCAGTGGCAACCACTGTTCTGGCCAGGTGCTATAATGTATCATTTATTCTTCACGATGCTGTAAGTACTCTTTATTTTTTACTTTTCATAGGTAACATAGGTACAGAAAGGTCTTTGATTTGCACAAGGACATACCTAGTGTCCAGAACCTTTGAATCACAAACTAGTAAATCCTAATGCCTAAAGGAGTTCCTGATAAAAGTAGAAGATGAGTAAAATGCAACATCAGTGAAGGCCCTTTTTCAGGAAGTTGTCCTTAGGGTGAGGTTTGAGTTTTTATTTTTTCAGTAATCCAGAAAGGCCTTGCCTATTAGGTGATCTGATTTGCTTGCTAGGAAGACAAAGCATATTCTTGGTTAAGAGTTACAGATTTATCAGGTGTGGAGCACCGTGTGCTACAGGGGCAGCAGGGGCCTCTGCCTGGAGAGAGAAGACAGCGCAGTTTAGTGTTATGCAGTGCCAGCTGTGGTACTCGCCGCTAATGCTTCACTTTTATTTGGCTTGAACATTATATGGTGAAGAAAAGGATATAACCAGCTTATAAGATTTTCTTATTTAAATGTTTTTAAAATTTGTTCTTAGGGATCAAATATTCCAAAGTATGGCCATGCAAGTTACCATATTTCCTTACTGTACCAAGGAAATTAACAAAAAACCCAGTCCGAGATGGCAACCTGACATCTTTCCAGGCAGCTTAAGAGCCTGTTCTTCATGGAACATTTCTCCCAAGTGCAGTAGGTCATGTGTATAAATGAGAGGCAAATTTGTTTGCTGTGGTTAATCAAAAAATGGCAACTTGTGAGTTTTAGAAATTTTTATTAAAGGGGAAATAAGATACTCTAGTAATTCTGACTTGTGGGCAGTTCTATTCAAAAGAACTACCAGTACCCATTTTTGAGCAGTTAAGTGTGTTGAGAGGATAACTAGTCAGATGAAAAGCTGAAAATCAGCCCTGGCTGGTGTGACTCAGTGGATGGAGTGCCAGCCTGAGAACCAAAGGGTTGCCAGTTGGATTCCCAGTCAGAGCACATGCCTAAGTTTCAGGCCAGGTCCCCAGTGGGGGCCATGCGAGAGGCAACCACATGGTGTTTCTCTCCCTTTGTTTCTTCATCCCTTCTCCTCTCTCTAAAAATAAACAAACAAATAAATAAATAATCTTATTTTTTTTAAAGCTGAAAAGTAATTCAGAAAGTTATATATGAAAACTAAATAAGAACCAGAGTCTTTCAATACAAAATAAAGTGATTCATAATTGAATAATAATACATTTCTTTTCCTGCTATTTTGGGTTTCTGTCAGATGACTTATTCTTTTCATAAGTCATTCCCATGCTCATCTTATTATTTCATACCTCTATTTCTCTGCATAAGTTATAGGCATCTTCTACACTTCATTTTCATATAACTTTCCTTGAACTTTGAACCTGCATTTCTACTAGTAAAACTAACTTAGTTTTTGTACCTAATGTTCTCTATCATTTGGCAGGTATCTTTAAATGTGGGTTAGTTGTTCTGAATTATAGTAATATTCTAATACTAATTGTATCTCTTACCACTGTACTTTCTATTTATATCCATTCCCATCTGCCTGCTCACACCCATTCTTTTACTTTAAGTCATGATTGTAATGTGTAGAATGAAAGCAAAATCAAGGGAAGCAATGTGAGATTGTAAAGGCCACAGTATCAGGAACTTTTAAAAACTGTATTATGTAATGTATGAATATATGCTTTTTATTTAGGGAAAATCTGTAAATATCTGGCATATATACACATTATAATTCTATATAATCCATTTTGGGTTCTATTTTTTCCTCCAAGATTACAACATGCCCCTTATGTGTCATTTGCAGAACCAAATGACTCAGTGACAAACATTACTTAATATTCAAGGGGTAGGAGTTCTACAATATTACTTCATAAATAAAAGCCATACCAATTAGCAGAAAGGGATAAACTGGGTGTTACGTATTTTCATTTTATTTGTTCACTTATATGGTTGACTGTGTCCTTTGCAAGGTCCCTGTTTGTTCTGGGAATAAATTTCCTTGTGGCATGGAACTACCTAGTCTTCCTTTTGTAAGAGTATGTTGCAGTGAATTTTGGAATGTAAACTTCAGTACTGAAAAAATTTCGGAACTATTTCATCAATGAGACTACTTGCATTGAAAGCAAGCATTTGTGAACATTTCAAATTTTTATCCTTGTAACTTTTTAAAAATATTAAGTTTTGTTCTGTAGATATTCAAGATAAATCTTAAAATTACTTTCTTTGTAGTTTTTTTAAAAGCTCTAGTAACCTTAATGTTAGTTGTGAAGCTAAATATAACACTTCTATAAAATTGTCAGGTTTTGTAATCAAATTATTTGATAACCTTTGTATTGTCAAAATGAATTTTATTGAGGGAGATATTTTTTCCTCAGATTCATGGCAATTACAAAACTTTAATCCAGCATGTATAAAATTGAACTCGAAATCTTTTTATTGAATTCATTGGTGTGATATTGGTTAATAAAATTATATAGATTTCAGTGTACAATTTTATAACACATCATCTGTACACTGTATTGTGTGCTCACTGCCCCAAGTCAAGTCTCCTTTCATCACCATTTATCCCCTTTATACCCTCCCCTCCCCGACTGGTAATCATACTGTTGTCTGCATCTATGAGGGTGTTTTGTTTAATTTTGTTTTGTTTTTTGCTTAATCCTTTCAGGTTTTTTCATTCAGCCCTACAACTTGCCTCTCCTCTGACAGCTGTCAATCTCTTCTCTACCTATGTCTATTTCTATTATGTTTGTTAGTTTATTTTGTTCGTTAGATTCAACTTATGAGTGAAATCATATAGTACTCATTTTATTCTGACTGGCTCATTTCACTTAGCATAATGCTCCCTAGGTCCATCCATATTGTTGCAAAGCATAAGATTTCCTTCTTTTTTATGACTGAGCATATTTCACTGTGTAAACATACCACAGCCTTTTATCCACACATCTACTGATGGGCACTTGGGCTGCTTCCAAATCATGGAGCATTGAACACAGGGGTGCATCTATTCTTTTAAATTAGTGTTTCAGGTTTCTTTAGATGTATTCCCAGATCAAAATATTTTTTATTAGAAGAAAAATCATAAAAAGTAAAAATACAAAACCACGTTCAAGTTGAACTGGTGATCTAAAGCTTTAAATAGTGACAATATTCAGAAATATATTGACTCTCTAATTAGTAAACTTTGACTTTGTTTGAGCCACATTTTAGAAAGAAAGTGTAAGACTTTAAAGTTAGAATTAGGAGGACTTCCGCCAAGATGGAGGCACAGGTGGGGACGCCTTGCTTTCTCACACAACCAAGTTTAGAGACAACTAAATATTAGCAACAGAAAACACAGCCAGGACACAGAAAATTAAACTTTTCGGAAGTCTGATAACAACAAATTCTTCACCCTGACCAGTAAGAGGGGCGAAACCAGCAGCTGGCGGAGCGGGGTTGCACGGGAAAACTTGGTCAGACGGACTAAGGTGCGCGGACCCCAGGCACAGGGTTGCAACGGGTGGACCTAGTGAGCGACCCAGCGAGCGACCATGGGGAACCAGCCAGGGAGCAGGGCCGAGATTTGACTGTGGTCGCGCATTCAGGTGCAGATAGACCAGCGAGGGAGTGGGCGGT